CTTGAATGTCTCTCCTGCCCCATAATGTAAACAATCACCTTGTTGATTGTTCCAAGACACCCAACCTCTCAGTATCTTCTGCCTTTAGGCATGGGGCACTGCTACATTTTAGAGCAGTGCTCAACAAATTAGCTTATATTCTGGTTTCTTTCTGTAAGCATTCTATTTTTCAGAGGTAACTCAGATTTGGGGATTCACTGAGGGTTTCCCTTCTTTTCTTTTTTCAGGATGGGTGTAGATCTTTAAAAATATTTTTTCTTTCATTTCTAGAAATTTGCTGGAAGAGGGGAGAACTGGACCCTTATCTTTCTTTATTCTCTTCAGTTTGCATCTTGACTGGCATTCTGAAGCTGAACATTTAACACTTTTTATTACCTGCATCTGTGTTTTTGTCCATTATCTGTGTTTTTGTCCATTTTCATATCTTATATCAATATATTTAGACTCTATAATGTTATCAATATTGAGCTTCTATTTTTATATTGTTGAAAATACTTTTCAGAGTCATTCCCTTTTTATTTTAGTTATCTCATTTTCATGGCAATGAAATTTTGCATCTTGATGTAATCAATTTTGTCAATATTTACCTTTATAGAAAGATAATTTGCAAGTGGCTGATAAATTCACACAATTGTTTTCTTTAGTTTTCCTTGCAATATAGGCCTTAAATATCTTGAAATTATTTTGAAATTTTCTTGTCAAATATAAATCTGTTCCCCCTCAAATTTTCATATTGTTAAATAGTTAGCTTGAATGTAACTGTTTAAAATTTCAATGATTTTTCTCTTTATTATCATGTGGGAAATTTATTTGTGAAATGTGCTGTATTTCTGTGCTTTCTGCTATTTTTATTGATATATTTTTCTATTTCATGCCCATATTCATTATATATTAATCATTTCTATTTTTAATAATTCACTGATCTCACTTCATTTTCTTCTTTTTTCAGTTTAATAGTTTTCCATTTGTATAGTATACAACTATTCTGACCTAAGTTGTAAAAATTGAAAGACAAATAAAACTTGTCCCTTGTCTTCAAGGAGTACACAGTCTTGGAGGGTAGAGTTAGTTCATCCTGAGAAGTTCCAAGAAGACTCCTTTGAAAGCTTAAGTTGAAAGGAAAGAATAAGCTTTAGAAGGAGAAGCTTGAGTCTTGATGTTTAGACAGAACTTCACCAGGGCAATGAATGGATAAGCCAAAAGGAAACTATCAATGCCAAAAGATGAGGACAGATGCACATACAGGGATGGCTGGAGTATTGGGTGAAGATAGAGAGAGTATCTGAGAATGAGGCTGGAGAGATAAGCTGGAGCACTACTCTTACAATTCCAGTTGAATTTTGTAATAATTTAGTAAAATTCAAACCACTCCTATTAATCTCTTGATCAGAGTAACTGTAAATATATTAGGTATGCCATAAGTAAGCATTGAATTGATTTGAGTTCTTTTTTTTTAAGATTTTTTAAGATTTTATTTATTTATTTGAGAGAGAGAGAATGAGAGACAGAGAGCACGAGAGGGAAGAGGGTCAGAGGGAGAAGCAGACTCCCCGCTGAGCAGGGAGCCCGATGCGGGACTCGATCCCGGGACTCCAGGATCATGACCCGAGTCGCTTAACCGACTGAGCCACCCAGGCGCCCGAATTGATTTGAGTTCTTAAATAATGTCATTTGTTGAAAAATGGGGTAGGTAAAAATAATAAAATTTTATATATAGGCTGGTTCTTTAACAGTGTCAAACAATTAAGGCTATAGTAAATCCAAGATGTGTGTTCCTTTTCAAAGTGAAAACTCAAGGGAAAGACTGCCCTCTTCAAGAATAATCAGTCAGCTTTAAGACAGGGAACATAAAATCAATTTCCCTGATTTTATTGGAGCTGTCTGTAATTCTCATTAGTATGTAGTCCACTACAAAAATAAGGATAAGTTCCATTAACCAGCAGAGTGCTGTGGAATAGGAACCATTCTGCACAGCAATAAGGAAGAAATGGAAGCAAGAAAGGGAACAGATAGAAGTAGACTAATTGCTCTACAATGTTGATAGTGAAATGAAAAAACTAGAATGTAGATCGGGGAAGGGTATGAGCATATGAAGAATTGCCTCATACACTAAGTTCTAACTGTGCTTAGAAGACAAAAAGGAATAATCCAGTAGAGAGGGAGAGGTTAAATGTTTGTGTTTTTAAAAAGATTATGTTTGAGAGAGAGAGAGAGAGAGAGAGAACACAAGCAAGAGTAGGGGAGCGGCAGAGGGAGAAGGAGAAGCAGACTCCCCACTGAGCAGGGACCCCAATGCGGGCCTCGATCCCAGGACCCTGGGATCACTGAGCCACCCAGGCACCCTGAGGTTAAATGTTTTAAAGAAGCGAGATCCACTTTAGAACATGAATTTTTTAGAAAATATGAAATGGTTTGTTCCAAGACACAGAGGGGAAGAGGGAGCATTTCTTCCTGTTAGAATTGCAGCAAGGATAAAATTAGAAGATGTAAAGAAAGAGATGTTGAGGGATAGATGGCAGAGAGCTAGACAGCTTACATGGATGGCTTTGATCTTCTAAATAAGTCTATCGACAGGACCCCTGCACAAGAATCACCAGGGAGTGCTGGATACAAATTCAGCTGGATTACTCATTGGAACCCAGGAAGCTGTAATTTCGGGATATTCTAACTAGAGTTTGAGAACCATGGTTCAAAAGAAGTAGGAGGTTACCTGCAGGGTGTGTTTACATGATTGGGAAAGCATTCATGTTTTAGGAAGACAGCAGAAGATATGAGTGGGCAACAGGGAGAATAGAATTATTAAGCATGGGCTAGTGGAGTTGAGAGATAGGAATTTGTGTTGGCGAGGCTGGTCCAGCCCTGGAATATGGGTAAATGTGCTTCCATGGCTTCTTCTAGGATAAAGTGATTCCACTTACAAACCCTGTTACCACTATTTTTATTTGTTGCAGCCCAGAGAAAATTGCTAAAGCAGGCTGCTGAGTCAAGGACGTGAAGAAACCTGGAGCAATTTTCCTTCTTTGGGGCTCAAGGAACACACCTTTCTTGGCAGGCAGAGTTAATCACACTGATTGCTACACAAAACCCTGTGGATTTGTTTATTCAGAGTTTTAGTTTCACATATTTATGATGAACGCTGCCAACGTGTCAGGCCAGGCTTCCCTCTGTGAGTTGTGGCTCCATTGCATTCTTACGGGCTTCTGCTCCACCTGCACGTAACCCAACACAGGTGACGGCCCTGTGTGAAAGAGAACAAAAGTTGCAAGAGCCGAGTGTAGTTCATTGTCTTTTTTCTCTTTTTATACTTGATCTGTAGCAACCTCCTCACTGGTCTCCAGGCTACCAGCCTCTTCCTTCCCCAGATCACCAGTGACCTTTTTTGACACAGACTGACCCTAAACAAATGAGGAAATATTTGTAAGGCAAATAGTAAGTGCTGTGAGTACTCACGGCGGCTGTGGAGTTTCCCCATCACCACAGGCTGAAGTCCACAAACAAATTAGAGATACTCGAGGTTTTTTGCAACATGTCTTACCTTCAGCTACTGCCTCCTGTGGCCCAGGGAAACAGGCTCTTTTTCATGATTATTTCAGTACACTGTGCACCCCAGCCTGTGACCAAAGTGTTTCTTCTTATTTTGTTGCTGTACTTCTGTTGATGCTCCACAGGAGCTGTATTTAAATGCCATCCCCTCTCTGAAGCTTTCTCAGGCTCCACTCCTCTAAGGCAGGATTATTTTTTCATCTGTATCCCACAGTACTTTATACAGATATCAACTGTTGCATTTAGAACATTATGTTGTACTCATTTATATTTTTGTTTCCACAACTGGACCTGAATTTCTTTCTTTTTTTTAAAATTTTTTATTAATTTATTTGACACAGAACGAGAGAGAGAGAGACAGAGAGCAAGCACAAGCAGGGGGAACGGCAGGCAGGGGAGAAGCAGGCTCCCTGCTGAGCAGGGAGCCTGATGTGGGGCTCGATCCCAGGACCCTGGGATCACGACCTGAGCCGAAGGCAGCCGCTTAACTGACTGAGCCACCCAGGCGCCCCATGGACCTGAATTTCTTAAGAACAGAAATTGGGTCATTAAATTTTTAATTCCCCAGTACCTGACACATAGGATGTACATCATCAATTTTAGTTGAATACACTTGAACTGGAGATCCTCTTTTTATGGAATCCAAATGGAAAAAACAGGAAAGTAGAGTCCTTTGGAGCAAACAATACGGGCAACTCTGTCAGCATCATTTTATAATAGTAACAAGTGCTTCTTTTTCCATGTAATATTGTAGTTATAATATCAGTTAATCAGAATACTTCTAGGATCATAGAATTTGAAGTATCTTCCAGGTGGTTCCTTTGATTTGCAGTTGAAGAAACCAGTCCTGTGCTTATATCAGACTGCAGAAGTAGTTTTTATCAAAATCCTATCCAATGGGATGCCTCGTGGCTCAGTCGGTTAAGCGTTTGCCTTCGCCTCAGGTCATGGTCCCAGGGTCCTGGGATCGAGCCCCGCATCGGGCTCCCTGCTCGGCGGGGAGCCTGCTTCTCCCTCTCCCTCTGCCGCTCCCCCTGCTCATGTTCTCACTCGCTAGCTCTCTGTCTCAGATAAATAAGTTAAAAAATACTTTTTAAAAATCCTATCCAACCACCAACCACCTTTGTGAATTCATAAGTATTAAACTATTTTTACATTCCAGGCAAATAATTCTGGGAGAACAAAATGTACAGTGCATTTTAGTTCAAAGGGAATTCCATTAAGGAATCTTAAGTTGAATTTAAGATTGTTGGGGTTGGGGAAAGCCAAGCTACTTGATGAGAAATAATTGGTAAGTTCAAGGAAGATTTTAAATATAAGTGAAGCAGTTTTCATGTTCTCCCCCCGCCCCACCCCGAGATAATGTGAACTAGCAGGGCCATCAGACGAACAATAGAGTGGGGTTTGATGAGTTCCTTTTCTCAGGGTTTAACTGAGCCTCTTCTTCTCTATAATAGGTTTCAGAATCTGCTGTGGTCCAGAAAGACATTTGTGGACAACATGAAGATTTATAACCACAGTTACATCTACATGCCTGCCTTTTCTATGAAGACAGGGACAGAGCCATCTCTCCGGGTTTATTACACGCTGTCAGATGTTGGTGCCAATCAAACAGTGCTCTTTGCCAACCCCAACTTTCTGCGTAGCATTGGAAAGTTCTGGAAAAGTAGGGGAATCCATGCCAAGCGCCTGTCCACAGGACTCTTTCTGGTGAGTGCGGCTCTGGGTCTCTGTGAGGAGGTAGCTATCTATGGTTTCTGGCCCTTCTCTGTGAATATGCATGAGCAGCCCATCAGCCATCACTACTATGATAACGTCTTGCCCTTCTCTGGCTTCCATGCCATGCCAGAGGAATTTCTCCAGCTCTGGTATCTTCATAAAATCGGTGCACTGAGAATGCAGCTAGACCCGTGTGAAGACACTTCACTCCAGCCCACTTCCTAGGGACCATGGAAAAAGAAAGAACCGAGACAGGGTATTTTTGTTAGGTTTTCTACAGGACTCCAAAAGGAAATGGTCAAGTCATTTCATGGATTCACATGGGCCACTTGGAAAAACAAAACAAAACAAAACAAAAACAAAACAACTATAAAAACCCAAGAGAAACTCTACTTTGGCTTGGAGGACAAATAAGAAATGAAACATCCTATGAAATATTTTGTAGCACATTGTGGATTTGCAACCAGTAACATGCTGATGAGATGATGTTGGTAAAGCACATTTAGGTGGTTCAAATCTAGAAGATGCAGTTCACAAACAAGACAGAACTCTGGTTGTTGAAGGTGAAGAATTAATCAAGGTGGAATAAAGGAAATGCCAGCGCAAAGTGTTACTGATTATCAACACAATCTGGCTTTAGGAAAAAAACCTATCATATCTTAGAACCATAGGTTTTTAAAAAATGATTATTTATTTTTGCCCTATTTAGGGGCAGTGAGTGGGTGATGAGGTAGCTAAAAAAAAAAAAATCCCTTACTGAGTAATAAAGATATAATACACTACAGCTAATTATTGTGATTTGTTGAACCAAGTCTATGTTAACTCTAGTCTCCTTCCATTTAAAAAATGTTAAGAATTGCTTCCTCCCCTTTTATCAGGTCTACTTAGACGATGTGAAGCATTGTTGAATTTAGACTGTGTTGATTCATAGTCTGGATAACATGAGCCACTTTCCCTCCTTCTCAGAATTGAGGGCATAAACTCAATTTTAGATCTGCATTATTTAAGCCTGTTTGTATTATTATGTTATTTTAGTGCAAAAAGACTACAAATGTGAGTGCATTATTTATTTGCAAATTGGCATAATTGTCTTCATAATTTAGTACTCAGAGATAAAGTAAAGCACAATGATGTTTTAGTCTGGAAACAGACTAGAAGGCACATCCCTTTTCTATCTACCATGGTATAGTCACTCCAAGATACATGCACACAAATAAAACACAGACTCATGTACACACACACTCATACACACACACAGTTAAACAAAGCTCATTCCCATGCAACTCCAAAGGCAGGACCCACATGACCAAGTGTGGCAAAAATCTGTAACCATTGTTGAAGAGCTACAGATGAATAAACTACCCACTACCCACTACACCTTGATATAAGACAAGCCAGCTTACTGGTTGCTGCTCGTAATGCTCACACCAGCACGACCCCCCAAATGCTTACCCAAAATGAGCAGAATTGTTTGACTCATTCTGACTCTGCCTAATATCTCATGAATGAACCCTGTGTTGAGCATGGTCATACACGCATGGTTCATGCAAGTAAAGGGATGTGAATTCATAGATGTTGATTCCCTTGGTAGTAGCAAGTAAGGCTACTTGGAAAGCTTTTTACATAAGCTTTGACAAACTGCGAACAAACTCTACTGACAGATACTGACAGATTAAATGTGTTTACATGTGCAAGGAAAGTAAAGGAAGCCTCTCACTGTCTTTGTGCTTTGGAATGCCTTAATCTAAAAGGAGACACTAGAAATCACTATTTTTTTATTCTTTTAAATGTTACCAAAATGTAGGTAAATTATGTCAAAATGTTCTGCTTCATTTGTAATGGTAGAAACTTAGTCTACCATATAAATTAAAATAGTGGGCATTTTTTGTTGTGTTCATTTAAAAGACATTGAGACAACAAAGCCCTTGGAAAAATTCTGTATCACCACCAGAATAGATAATTTCTAAGTAAGATTAAATTTTGAGGTTATTATAGAAATCAGCAGTTAAAAAATGACTGGTTGACATAATACAGATTAAACTGATGCTTGGAAAGTTAAGAATTTGAGAGTACTGATTCTGTACAGAACTGATTTGTTATTTCGATCCTATATGGCAGCAAAAATATAATGAGAATGTACAATGAGTGAGCTGTGTTAAATACGCACTAGATGTGAAACCCTAAACGTATTTCCTTTTTAGAGCCATTGTTATTATTTAATAATTACCTTAAAAAGGAATACATTTTTTCTTATACACTTCATCAAAGATGTAAAAGGGCTAATGAAAAACACGTGTCACACAAATTAGTACTTTTACTGATAAAGTTGTTAAAATGTAACTAAAGAGCCCCATAAAGCCTGTGCCTCACATTTCCACTGAAGCTACTATTTGGAAATTTAACATCTTGTTATGGTTTCTGGGATAGATTTATACAATAAACTGTGCAATTTTTAGACTATAAATTTGTGGCTTCTGAAAGGCAGAACAGAAATGGCCCAAGATGATGATATTTAATTAGACCAGTGCTTCTCAACTGGGGTGATTCCCCTCCCTTGTCTGGTGACATTTGGCAGTGTGTAGAGACACTTGATTGTCGTGATTTGGAGGGTGCTACTGGCATCTAGTGGACAGAGGCCAGGGATCCTGCTAAACATCGTACAGTGAAGAGGTCAGTCCCCCACAGCGAAGAATTACCCAGTCTAAACTATTAATAGTGTCAAGGTTGAGAAACCCTGGATAAGACCAAAAGAATGCTTTGATTGCTCCAAACTGTCTTCACTTAAGGATAGCTATACATGCTCCCATCATTTGAAATATGACTACAATTGAATGAGAATGGTTTCTTAGAGTAGATTGCAGTTGGCATTATTTTATATTGACTCATAGATATGCCATACATATTCCCTTTTTTATGGTTAGATAGATGTATCTAAACCAGGAGTTGTGACTGTCCTTGTGTGTGTGTGTGTGTGTGTGTGTGTGTGTGTGTGTGTACACATGTGTGTTGTAGCATAAAGTTATGCATATCTATCCTTATTGAAATATATGTGTTCCTAAGTGAGGATCTCTCCAGGATTATCTTCCAGAGTAGACTTCTTACTATTAAGAAGTTGAATTCTAAGCGCCTATTATTTTATTCTGTTTATCTGGAATTGGGCCTCATACTTTGCCAAATTTGGTCAATTACATTTTAATACTACTGACCCTTAAGATTAGCTCAGAAGATATTCAGGTTATGGTAGACACACTCAGTAAGAAAATATTTCATTGCTTTCAATGCATCTGCCAAGAGAGGGCATCACCCTCTAACATCAGTCTCATTTTTAAATTGCTTTTTATTGACAAAAAATTAGCTTGCTCCATGGGAGGAAAAGAGGGATAGATTTATACAATAAACCGTGGGTACCTGATACGATTTTTACCTTTTATCAGCTCCATCAGCCCCAGTTTGGGAATTGCATTGATGCTAAGGATCATGAATAAGGGTGACCTCTGTTTAATTTTAATTGCACTAGAGTAAAATTAAGATAGGTGAAGGATTAAGTCATTCTCTAAGATAGAAAAGTGATTTTTTTATATGAAAGATTTTTAAACCGAAGAGGACAATGGATACATATGCTTTAAGTAGAGGATTTGACCAGCAGTTTATATAGCACTGTGCATCTCAACTGCAACCAAAACATGGAGTTAACAAGTGCCCATGGGATTTTGTTTCTATATAGTTCACTTTTATTTTAACAATATTCCAAAATGATGCAAATGACCCCAAATGGTAGCTATTCTGACAATACCTGTTTGGCTTCGTGATGTCTCATGTCCTTCTCTTGGCTACAAACTTTGTTTAGGTTATATGTAACTTGTACCTGAAGCAATGGGCAACATAGCTTCACAATCTACAGGGAAAATAATGGAAGAAATCCCAGGATTCCGAGTCTGACAAAAATATTCTTAGGTTAGTCAGAAGTTTTACAGAAGTGTTAGCGATGATTCCCAAATAGAAAAAGATATGAAGAACATTTCTTCTGGTCAGCAACTATCACAGTTTTTATGATGTATTATATACAGCTTTCTATTTTGAAAAATTACCCATCTATAACTTTAATTTTTACTTTTAAAAATAGTGGCTTTGTGAAATTTTTAACTGACAAATCCTTGTTAGGAGGGACCTAAGAGGAAAAAGTGTCACAGTCCACCAAAAACTTTAGGGAATTATGATTGTGTTGTACAAAAACGTTCCCACCAGAACCAGGTAATAATATCTGCTCCCTTTATAGAGTTCCAGGGATCAAGAGCTGTAAAGACTTTTGTGAGAACCCGAGGACAAATATGCGGAGGCATAAGGACTGAGAGCAATACTATGCTTTTTATTTCTTCATCTTCCCAGCATGGAGGTCAACTCTCAGATGATGACTTTTAGTGAGCACACATCAGGAAGTGAGTAAACAACTACAAGGCACCTGGAACTTAGGTCAAGCCTCTAGCAGAGTCTGTAGTAACTAAATATGACCAGCAACTTGGGTCTGTGCCAGGGAGAGATGAGGCAAGTGGAAAGGAGGAGAAAACCCTATTCCCAAGCTCTCAGAGTACATCAGGGTCAGAGAAGTCTCTGCCCTTGACCTTGGCTTTACAGCACTATCTATTCTGTTTTCTACCAGGGAGGCTGGCCTGTCTGTGGGGTCAAGCTAGTAGCCTTGTGACTGGAGACTTGGTGTGGAAATTTGCTGAGAAGCTTAAAATTTTACACTGCCTTAAACAGTTTTTTCCCCCCCCTTAAATCTGTGCTCTCTAAATTTGGGTGTCCTGTGACAGAATTCTGGTCACCCTGACCTAATTATGGCCCTGTCAGTGATGATTAAAAATGGACCTTTTTTTCCCACTCAGATGAATTTTCTGAGTTCTCGAAGCTAGGGAGATATCAAATATAGTTGACCCTTGAAGGACACAGATGAGAACTGCACGGGTCTGCTTATACACAGATTTTTTTTTTTTATAAATATAGTGCAGTTCTGTAAATGTATTTTCCTTATGATTTTCCTAATGACATTTTCTTTTCTCTAGCTTACTTCATTGTAAGAATACAGTATATAATAAAAATAGCATACAAAATATGTGTTAATCAACTGTTGATGTTGTTGATAAGGCTTCCAGTCAATAATAGACATAGTAGTTATGAACTAGTTATGTTTTGGGAGAGTCAAAAGTTATATGCAGATTTTGGACTGCATGGTGGGGTTGACAACCCTGATCCCCACATTGGAGTGGACTGTATTCCATCAGTTCTTATATAGTCTCTTTAAGAGCCAGGGAGACTGATCCAAAAGAATCCAGAAGCCTAGAATGTTTTTTTTATGACTCCTAAACATAAGGGCAGAATATTTAGGTTGAGCCCTGTAAGATTCCTGTCTTGTAAGTGGAAAGAGACTTACATGAAGCTACAATGGCTGTAGCCTTTTTTCTTCCTGTCATAAGAAAATGGATACTGTTGGCTTTAACCCCAGCCAAGGCGTGTCTCTTGCATTTGTTACATACCTCCTAGAGGCGAAAGATTGAAACAAGTCATGAAAGGAAAGCTCATTCAAACATAAGACAACCTCTGCTCATCATCACAATAAGGAAAAACTACATGTTTCTGTCTCCCTCTGATTTTCTTCTTTCTGGTGCCAACATTTCTGATTTCTTCTCTAAGAAATAAGGAATAAATAATTTATAAATTGACATATAATACCTGTGAACATTTGTGCGATAACCTAAGCCCACAGCTATGAATTTTTT